ACTAATCTTTGACAAAGCAGACAAAAACATACACTGGGGAAAAGAATCCTTATTCAATAAGTGGTGCTGGGAAAACTGGATAGCCACATGTAGAAGACTGAAACAGGACCCACACCTTTCACCTCACACAAAAATCAACTCACGCTGGGTAACAGGCTTGAACATTAGGTATGAAACTGTTAGAATTCTAGAGGAAACGTTGGAAATACTCTTCTAGACATTGGCCTAGGCAAAGAATTTATGAAGAAGACCCCAAAGGCAATCACAGCAGCAACAAAAATAAATAAGTGGGACCTGATCAAATTAAAAAGCTTCTGCACGGTCAAGAGAGCAAACAGATAATCCACAGAATGGGAGAAAATTTCCGCAAGCTACACAACTGATAAAATGGCTAATAACTATAATTTATTTAGAACTCAGGAAAAACAGCAAGAAAAAAATCAAACAACCCTATCAAAAAATGGGCAAAGGTCATGAACAGAAACTTCTCAAAAGAAAACAGAGTAATGGCCAAAAAACATACGACAAAATGCTCAACATCTCTAATCATCAGGGAAATGCAAATCAAAACCACAATGAGATATCACTTAACTCCAGCGAGAATGACCTTTATCAAAAAGTCCCCAAACAATAAATGTTGGCGTGGATGCGGAGAGATGGGAACATTCATTCACTGCTGGTGGAACTGCAAACTAGTGCAACCTCTGTGGAAAGCAACATGGAGATACCTTAAAGCGATACAAGTAGATCTACCGTTTGATCCAGCAATTCCACTACTGGGCATCTACCCAGAAGATCAAAAGTCACTTTATGAAAAAGACACCTGCACTCGAATGTTTATAGCAGCACAATTCACAATTGCAAAGCTCTGGAAACAACCCAAGTGCTCATCAATTCATGAGTGGATTAATAAAATGTGGTATATGTATACCATGGAGTACTATTCATCTTTAAGAAACAATGGTGATAATAGCACCTCTTGTATTTTCCCGGATAGAGCTGGAACCCATTCTAAGTGAAGTATCTCAAGAATGGAAAAACAAGCACCACATGTACTCACCAGCAAATTGGTGTTAACAGATCAACAACTAAGTGGACATATAAGAAAAACATTTATCGGGTGTCGGGCGGGTGGGAGGGATCAGGAGGGGATGAATATATACAAACACCATGAGTGAGATATGCAACGTTTGGGGGATGGTTACACTTGAAGCTCTGACTCGGGGGAGGGGGAGCATGGGCAATATACGTAACCTTAACATTTGTACCTCCATGATATGATGAAATAAAAATAAATACATAAATAAAAAAGGAAAGTAGATACCATGGGAAGGTTCAACTCACAACCAAGTGGAGTCTCAGGAGTGGAAAGAGAGAACGGGGAAGAAGCAATATTTCAAGACAGTAGCTCAAAATTTTTCAAGATTGATGAGAAGTTTGTTTTGTCAGCTGATTATCTGTTAGTACTGTAATCTGTATTTTCTAAATAGTTGCTATTTAAGATGTTTCTTGTTTCCTCAAATGAGAATCCTTATTTATCAAATTTGTAATATTTGTAGCCAATTAACCCTTGAAAATTGCCTCTTGTTCACTCTCTATTCTCTTCTTACAAAGTCCCATTAGATAAATGTCAGATCCTCCCATTCTAAAGCCTTTTCTCTTATAGCTTCAGAATGAAGCGTTCCCTTTCTGCTGCATTCTGCCTAATTTCTTCAAACCTATTCCTCAGGTTTACTGATTCTGTATCCAGCCACATCCAATCTGCTAGTTAACCTGTTATTAATTTCATTAACTGTACTTTTCATTTCTAGAAGTTGTTTCAAATTGACTAATCTCTTTTGGTTGTATCTTGGTATTTTTCTAATGTTTTAAATGCCTTATTTCATGCCTATAGTCATTTAAATATTCATATTACAATATCTATAGTCCTCAAGTATCTAATCTGTTAGATTGGCTTTACTCATGGCCTTTGTCTATGGGAAATCTTTGCTAGCAAAATCAAAGATGGTATATCTTTGGAAGAACAACAAAGGTTTCCCACAGATAATCTGCCAAGCATGAGCTCCCAACTGGCCTGTAGTTGTGAATTCTCAGAAGAGAGAGTCTTCTATCTATCTTCTTTGCCACCTCTGCTTTGTCTTCTTCCTCTTTCTTTTCACCATGCAGATAAAGACAGAGAAATTTGCCTGCCATCTCCTTTTACTTCTGTGTTGTCTCCTTGTGTCACAGAACAAATATTATCCCCCTTGGCACTGTCCTTGAACTTTTTTGTATTTGATCACCCTTAGCTATAATTTACATACAATAAAATTTACCAATTTTAAATGTACAGCTTGATGAGTAACTACTGTCATCATAATGATATAGAGCATTTCCATCACCCAAAAGTCCTCTCAATGCCCATTGCAGTCAGTCTCCTCTTCCCAACCATTGGTGGCCACTGATCTGTTTTGTCCCATCCAAGTGTTAACCAGGCCCAGTCCTGCTTAGCTGCTGAGATCAGATGAGATCCAGCACATTCTCATCTCTGGCCTGTATTTATTGCTGTAATATGATCTGTGTGAAAGTAACCCAAAATGGATATGCTGATACACAGGATGAGTTTTAATATGGGGTGGAAGTTGGGTTAAATAAATTAAATGAGCGCTCCATGAAAAAACAGATAAGCTACCACCAAACATTCACTCCCATCTGCTCCTTATTAATAATCTAACAGAAAGTTTCATTTTCTAACCATGCTAATTCCTTAGTACTAGGTGACTTCAAGAAAAAGGAATATTTTTTTATTTCAAACTACTGTCTTTTGATATCATAATTCAAATTTGTGAATTTTAACTGTATTGGTTAGCTTTTTGCCTTTCTTGTCATATAATGGAGAAAAAATACCAAGGATCTAAGTAATTAGATAAAAGGAAACTTTTCTGACAGTTTTTCAGCCCATTAAATGAAAATCTTATGTGTTCAGAATTATCTTCTATTTTGTAAATTGCTACATATCTGGTGAGTCAGGTACCTATTTTATAATACTTTAATTCAGCCATAAATAAGAAAAGGTAAAAAGAAAGTATTGAAGAATACATTTTGGGAAAGGGGAAAAACGTATAATGGCTGTATTAAAACCTGACGTGTTTGTGTGTTACATAAATTTTACAAGTAGATAAGTCAAGTGAGACATTTAGTTACCTATGTATAGTAAGTTGAGGAATTGTGATTTTTTTTTTTTTTTTTTTTTTTTTTTTTTGAGACAGAGTCTCATTTTGTTACCCTGGCTAGAGTGCCATGGCATCAGCCTAGCTCACAGCAACCTCAAACTCCTGGGCTCAAGCAATCCTCTGCCTCAGCCTCCCAGGTAGCTGGGACTATAGGCATGCACCAACATGCCTGGCTAATTTTTTCAACATATTTTTAGTTGGCCAATAAATTTCTTTCTATTTTTAGTAGAGACAGGGTCTTGCTCTTGCTCAGGCTGGTTTCGAACTCCTGACCTTGAGTGATCCTTCCGCCTTGGCTGCCCAGAGTGCTAGGATTACAGGAGTGAGCCACCACACCTGGCTGGAATTGTGATATTGACTGCCAAAATAAGTAGGCTTATTCAAAGTACAAAGGGTATATTTACTAAAAGGGATTTATCTCAGTTGTGGTTTCCTAAATGGTGAGAATCTATTTTCTTTTAAGCTACAGAAAAATTACAGGCAATACCATGACTCTAAGACCTTTATGGATAATGTCTTTATGATGTCTATTGGACAAGTAACATTGAAAAAACAATTCATTTATTCATTTACTTGAGATCTAGGTATAAAGTCCTGAAGGAAAAAAAACACTTTTCTTCTCTTAAACAGTTAACACTCACCCATATCACAGAACACTATGAGACAAGATGTGTGGGGTTTTTTTTTTTCCCCTGCGCACACCAAGCAATACAACAACAGACACCAAATTGGAGTATATATCCAGTAATCCAACACAATTCTGAACTTAACCACCTGAGTTAGAGTCAGATCCCAGGTTAAAGGCTCAGTTCCACATGACTGCCCCCCCTTCACACGCCAATCATAAGTGGTAGGTTGTCACCTATACTTCTGACTGACCAGTTATAAATTGGGATTCCTGCTACTCACTCTTTGGATTTGATTAATTTGCTAGGAAGGTTCCCAGAACTCAGGGAAATGCAGTTACCAGTTTATTATAAAGGATACATATGAATAGCCAGGTGAAGAGGTACGTAGGGTGAGATTTGAAAGAGTCCCCAAGTGCAGGAGCTTCTGCCCCTATGGAGTTAGAGTGTACCATCCTCCCTACACATGGATTCAATTGGTTCAAGAGTTGTTTTCTTTTTTGTTTTGTTTTTGAGATGGAGTCTCGTTGTGTTGCCTGGGCTAGAGTGCAGTGGCATCATTGTAGCTCACAGCAACCTCAAACTCCTAGGCTCAAGTGATCCCCCTGTCTTGGCCTCCTGAGTAGCTGGGACTACAGGCATGCATGGCTACACCCAGCTAATTTTTCTATTTTTTGTAGAGACAGGCTCTTGCTCAGGCTGGTCTCAAACTCCTGGCCTCAAGCGATCCTCCTGCCTTGGCCACCTCACCCAGCCCTGTTCGAGTTTTTATGGAGCTTAATTTCCAACTACCACCACCCCCTTCCTGGAGATTGGTAGATGGGGCTGAAGTTTCCCTCCTGTAATTACTTGGTCCTTCTAGTGACTGAAACTATCTAGGTCCCTTACCTGAAGTCAACCTCTTTAGCATAAACTCAAGTGTGATGAAAGGGCTTGTTATGAACAAAAGACACTTCTGTAACTTGGGAAACTCCAAGGGTTTTAGGAGTTCTGTGCAAAAACCAAATATTATAAAAAAGATGCTCCTATAATCTTTATAACTCAGGAAATTATAAGGGATTTAGGAGCTCTGCCAAGAATTGGAGATAAAGACTAAAAAATGTGTATTACTTCACAAAAGAGTTTTTGTGCTGATATACTAATTTAATTTTATATCTTTCAGATATTTGGATTTGAATTGCATTTTGGAATTCATCTACACTTAAAATGCCACCGGCAATTGGAGGTCCAGTTGGATACACCCCCCCAGATGGAGGCTGGGGGTGGGCAGTGGTAGTTGGAGCTTTCATTTCCATCGGCTTTTCTTATGCATTTCCCAAATCTATTACTGTCTTCTTCAAAGAGATTGAAGGGATATTCCATGCCACCACCAGTGAAGTGTCATGGATATCCTCTATCATGTTGGCTGTTATGTATGGTGGAGGTAAGTACCCATTAAAGCGTGCTATTTTAATTTTCTTTAAGCAGCCAGAATCTCTGTACCATATAACTTTAAAAAAAAACTTATTCAGGCCAGGCGTAGTGGCCCATGCCTGTAATCCTAGCACTCTGGGAGGCCGAGGTGGGCGGATCGCTCAAGGGCAGGAGTTGGAAACCAGCCTGAGCAAGAGCAGGACCCATCTCTACTAAAAATAGAAAGAAATTAATTGACCAACTAAAAATATAGAAAAAATTAGCTGGGCATGGTGGCACATGCCTGTAGTCCCAGCTACTTGGGAGGCTGAAGCAGAAGGATTGCTTGAGCCCAGGAGTTTGAGGTTGCTGTGAGCTAGGCTGACACCATGGCACTCTAGCCCGGGCAACAGAGTGAGACTCTGTCTCAAAAAAAAAAAAAAAAAAAAAAAAAAAAAATTCAGTGAGATGTTTTGAGTGTTATTTCTCAAAGTTTTGTGTTTAGAGTCACATTTTTCATTTTTGATAACAATGGCAACTCTTGCTGTGTTTGTTCCATTATAGTATTCCAAAACAGAGATGAGAAATGTGAGGAGCCCTGATTTACTTCAACTCAAGTATCATTGAGCTGAAAGAACTCTCATAAACATGATGTGTGGGCCGGTCACGATGGCTCACATCTGTAATCCTAGCACTCTGGGAGGCTGTGGTGGGCTAATTGCTCAAGGTCAGGAGTTTGAAACCAGCCTGAGCAAGAGCGAGACGCTGTCTCTACTAAAAACAGAAAGAAATTAATTGGCCAACTAATATATATAGAAAAAATTATCCGGGCATGATGGCACATGCCTGTAGTCCCCAGCTACTTGGGAGGCTGAGGCAGTAGGATTGCTTGAGCCCAGGAGATTGAGTTTGCTGTGAGCTAGGCTGATGCCACGGCACTCACTCTAGCCTGGACAACAAAGCGAGACTCTGTCTCAAAAAAAAAAAAAAGAATGTTGTGTGCACAACTAGTTTTTCTTGTTCTCTGCTAGACTCATGAAATGTAAACATACATATAGATTTTTAAAAATTGATATTGGAAGAATTAAAATAAATCAGTCTATCTGAATAGCAAAGTTCAGGGTCTCAGGTAAAATCTGTATATGCTGTTCCTTGTGATTTTGTGAGTCCTAAAAGGATTTCATTTATTTCCCTTCTGTTTCTTTGGCATGTTGTGAAGGAAATTCAAAGAGTAAGTTGCTCACTTAACATCATTTAAAATACTGTTTATTCAACAAGCCATGATTTTGGAAAAAAATAAAAAAAAATAAAAATAAAAATAAAATACTGTTTGTTTCACCTTGGGATATCAAACCACAATTTAACATGTAAAAGTCAAATCGTATCATAATACTATTTTTTTTTTTTTAATTTGGTGAGACAGAGTCTTTGTTGCCCCAGGTAGAGTGCAAAGGCATGATCATAGCTCACTGCAACCACAAACTCCTGGGCTCAGGCGATCGTCCTGCCTCAGCCTCCCGTGTAGCTGGGACTATAGGTGTGCACCACCACACCTGGTCAATTTTTTCTATTTTTGGTAGAGATGGGGTCTTGCTCTTGTTCAGGGTGGTGTCAAACTCCTGATCGCAAGTAATCCTCCTGCTTGGCCTCTTAGAGCACTAGGATTACAGGCGTTAGCCACTACACCTGGCCATCCTATCCTACATATTAAAATACATCCTACATATTAAAATATTAATCCTACACATTAAAAATCCTACATCCTACATATTAAAATATTAATATGTAGTTGGATAGTTCACAGAGATTCCAAAGCCAAGTATATTCATTTACTATACTGGGATTGTCAGTGGCTCTTACTTATTTAGCCATGCTTTCACTTCCGTTAATCTTGTTTTTGGTGGCAGTTTAGTACTTGAGATTATTCTCATGTAGCTCTTTAATAGCTCATGTAAGGATTCTGCATTTCCACTGTAAATAACTTAGCCTTAGGCTGCTAAGATGCAACCAATTTTTTTTTTTTTTTTTTTTTTTTTTTTTGAGACAGAGTCTCAGTCTGTTGCCCTGGCTAGAGTACAGTGGCATCATCATAGCTCACAGCAACCTCAGAGTTTTGAGCCAAGTGATCTTTCTTCCTCAGTCTCCTAAGTAGCTGGGACTATAGGCCTTTATTACCACACCTGGCTAAGTTTTTTCTGTTTTTGGTAGAGATAGAGTCTCACTGTTGCTCAGGCTGGTCTCGAACTCCTGACCTCAAGCAATTCCTCCCACCTTGTCCTCTCAGATTGCTAAAGAATGGGCCACAACACCTGGCTTTAGTATATCCTTAAGCTGACTACAAACCAGAGATTCACATGTTCCAATTCTGTGCCATCAAAGAGCTTTAGAGCCACTTGAGTTTTGCATCAAAAGTAAGTGATGTCAGTTGTGCTAATTGCACATGACACTTTCCTTGGGGGAAACAGTTCCTTCTTTGTCCTTACCCTGTTAGTGAGATAACTAGCACATTTCTTTGAGTTTGTGTTACAATAGACCTATAAACAGTACCCTTTATATTTTTAATGATAGTTAATTAGGGCCATCCTTCCAGAAATAACTCTAAAAGACAAATTGCCTATCATGAGCCTTATTGCAGAATTTTTACTAAATGGATTATTTTGTTTTGATTGGCTTCTAAGTAGTATGTCCCCTAAGAATTTTCATCAGTAATGTTTTGAGCTATGATTGGTTTCATTTTCTTTATTAGTGCTTTGGATCAGAGATATATAACTGATGATTGTTAGAGCATATTTTGGGGGGAGGAGAAATTAATTGCCTACTTTTGGTTCATTTTTCCTTTTTTTTTTAACATGAAAGTATGAATTTACATATTTTTAGTTCCACAGTGTTCATCTTAACATTCCTGGTTTGAAATTTCAAATATTGCAACATTTACAGCGTTAACTTCTATTAATACATCACAGAGTCAACAGTGTGGCAGTATTGATCTTTGTAATTCTGATTGTACAAAATCTCATGACTAATTTATATGGAAATATTTCATAAATATTCTTTCACTATTCATTTCTTTCATCTTATACAAACTATAAAATCAAATTGTTTTCAAATCAGCTGTGACCTAATATTTTCATAAAGTGACTGTCTTAGTCTGTTCAGGTTGCTGCAATAAAATATCTCAGACTGGGTAATCTGTAAACAACAGACATTTATTGCTCACATTGGAGGCTGAGAAGTCTAAGGTCAAATTGCCAGCAGATTCACTGTCTAGTAAGGGTTCATTCCTCATAGATGGTGCCTTCTGTATGTGTCCTCATATGGCGGAAGGGAAGAAAAATTCCTTCAAGCCTCTTTTATAAGAGCACTGATTTCATTCATGAGGGCTCCACCCTCATGACCTAATTACCTCCTAAAGTCCCTACCTCTTTTTTTATTGGTTTTTATTTTAGCATATTATGGGGTACAAGTGTTAAGGTTATATATATTGCCCGTGCCCCTCTCCCCCAAGTCCCTACCTCTTAATACTCTTATATTGGGGGTTAGGTTTCAACTTGTGAATTTTGGAGGGATAGAAACATTCAGACCATAGCAGTGACTTAGAAGGTAGCAATGAATAATGTGTTATGCACATCCTGGGTTGAGCCTCAAGTCTCTCTTGGCAGTCAGTTCTTGATCTAGCACCTTAGAGAGACTGGGTCCCCTGGAATACATGGGTAAATCAGAAGACTTAATTCCTTCATACAGGCTTATTTTATGTATCTATACATACATATATCTATATCTATACCTATATAGATGGGGGGGTGGAGAGAGTACATGAAACCACAAGAACATACACTAGTATCATTATCCCTGCCAATATTTATCGAGGACCTGCTAAATACTTCACCTATGTTCATTTTTTATTCTTCCAACAACCGTATGAGATAGATTAATAATAACCTCTGAAGAACAAAGAGAGGAGAGTAGTATGATCATAATTTGAATTAGGATTCCCTGGGGTCAGAACCTGTCCTTTTAATATTAATACACCATACTACAACTCTGAATAGTAATACTAGAATATAAGTAACTTCAGAATTTTGCATAGTGTTTATAGAAATAGAATATGTCAACATATGATCATTAGTGTATTCTAAAAATGTACATTCAATATGTATTTTTAAAAATCGAGGCCGGGTGTGGTGGCTCACGCCTGTAATCCTAGCTCTCTGGGAGGCCAAGGCGGGCAGATTGCTTGAGGTCAGGAGTTCAAAACCAGCCTGAGCAAGAGTGAGACCCTGTCTCTACTATAAATAGAAAGAAATTAATTGGCCAACTAATATATATAGAAAAAATTAGCCGAGCATGGTGGCGCATGCCTGTAGTCCCAGCTACTTGGGAGGCTGAGGCAGTAGGATCGCTTTAGGCCAGGAGTTTGAGGTTGCTGTGAGCTAGGCTGATGCCCCGGCACTCACTCTAGCCTAGGCAACAAAGCGAGACTCTGTCTCAAAAAAAAAAAAAAAAAATCGACTTACTGTCTTTGAATAAGACTTTCTTAAAATTAAGATTTATAAATTTGGGGCCAGGCATGGTGGCTCATGCCTGTAATCCTAGCACTCTTGGAGGCCAAGGTGGGAGGATTGCTTGAGCTTAAGAGTTTGAGCACAGCATTAGTGAGAGCAAGACTCTATCTCTACTAAAAATGGAAAAAATTAGCCAGGCGTGGTAGCATGCACCTGTAGTCCCAGCTACTCAGGAGGCTGAGGCAGGAGGATCGGTTGAGCCCAGGAGTTTTAGGTTGCTGTGAGCTATGATGATGCCACTCTACTCTAGCCAAGACAACAGGGTGAGACTCTTTGTCTCAAAAAAAAAAAAAAAAAAAAAGATTTATAAATTTGGAAAAGGCAAATTACAGATTATAACTGTTTGTAGCAAGTAAGAAGAGAGAGCCCATTTGTTTTTGTTTTCAAAACTGATACATGAAATACTTAAAATCTTCTCCTGGTTTTTATAAGGCTTTTCATTTATTTCCTTTCTCTCATATTCAAGAAAAACTTATATTATTTAATATGCATCTATTTAGCTGAAGAAATTTAATCTGGTTTTCTTGGATAATACTCCATTTTCTATCTACTTTTTGTTTGTTTTTTTTTTTTCTTTTTCTTAGAACCTTGGTCACTCTTTGATCTATCTACTTTTGAGTTGTTAGATCCAAGGTTATATTGACTGTTATCTGACTTAATCTTCTCTTGCAAGCATTTTTTCACAGTATTGCTACCATGAAACATATTTATATAGGCATGAAACCAAGCAATTCTAAAAGATATATTTGGTTCAGTACCTGAAACATCTAGCTGTAACTAGGAATAATTTTTTTTAATCGAAATGACCTAATTGCAAAACTACTTAAACTTGGAAATAATGATTGTGTATATTTGTCTTTTTTCCCTTCTTTTTAAAAAATATGGCACAAACCACATTTATGATACTGCATAAATACTCTCAAACCCATTCAGATGGTGTTCATACATCTTATACGTGTCTATCTAAAAATTAAAACAGAGCAAACTCTTTATATCAAGAACCCTGTGAACATTCATTACTGAGGTGTTTTCAGGCTTTCTTGCCTTAAAAGAGGAAGATAATGGATAAATTCAAGTTTTGAATATTTTAGTAAAATTCCATCCATTTCTAGATATAGAACATGGACAATTAAAGTTTTCTAGTATCTTTATTTTCCAATATACATACTTAGAAATTATTATTATAGAAAGCAACATTATCATTGCCTTTTGTTTACTTCAGAGGACTTGTGATTTACTGTAATTCATGCCTTGTATAGATGTGAAGGAATAGATTCCTTTATACTACTAAAATTTGGGTTATCTCTTAGGTCCCATCAGCAGTATCCTGGTGAATAAATATGGCAGTCGTCCAGTCATGATTGTTGGTGGCTGCTTGGCAGGTTGTGGCTTGATTGCAGCTTCTTTCTGTAACACTGTACAGGAACTTTACTTCTGCATTGGAGTCATTGGAGGTGAGTTGCTATTGATTCATTTTCAAGTATTAATTTATTGCTGGCTATTTGGTATTCACTTGTATTCTTTTTTCAGATCTTTTGAGTGAAATTCTTTCCATATAGAAATTATTTGACTATCATTTTGAAGAGCTATAGACAAATTAATTTAAGAGTACTAGAAAAGAAACTTTTAAAGAAATTGCTATAATATAATAGGTGTTTATTGTTTGTTGAATGAATGAATTGAAAGAGATGATTGCATTACTTATCCTAATAGATAATGGTGTTAGATAAACAATATATAGCAACTTATTCTCTTTGCCTCTTCCTCCCAAGGAGAATAGGCTTCCATTAGAGCAAGAGAGAGTGTTAAACATAAAAGCAGAAATTATTGGATAGAATGTCCAGATAACATGTCTGAGGGAATAGAGGATATATCCGTCCCCTCTTTGTCTCAAAAAAAAAAAAAAAAAAAAAAAAAAAAAAGAGGGGACGGATTATCAGAGTCTCACTTTGTTGCCCAGGCTAGAGTGAGTGCTGTGGCGGCAGCCTAGCTCACAGCAACCTCAAACTCCTGGGCTCAAGCGCTCCTTCTGCCTCAGCCTCCCAAGTAGCTGGGACTACAGGCATGTGCCACCATGCCGGGCTAATTTTTTGTATATATTTTTAGTTGTCCAATTAATTTCTTTTCTATTTATAGTAGAGACGAGGTCTCACTCTTGCTCAGGCTGGTTTCGAACTCCTGACCTGGAGCAATCCGCCTGCCTCGGCCTCCCAGAGTGCTAAGATTATAGGTGTGAGCCACCGCTCCCAGCCCCTAATTGATTTTTGATGTTGAATTTTGTTTAAAATTATTTTTAAAGTTGTTTTTTCCCACTTTTCCCCATCATTCAATATCTAAAGTTTTTGTGTATTCAAATTTCTCAGTCTTTTATGGTTTCTGTCTCATGTATTATCCTTATGAAGTTGTTTCCCATTGCAAGATCATGAAAATATTTGTCCACTTTTTTTAGTACATTTAATTTTTACATTTAAAAATTCTGAATGGGCCAGGCGCAGTGGCTCACACCTGTAATCCTAGCACTCTGGGAGGCCAAGGCGGGCGGATTGCTCGAGGTTAGGAGTTCGAAACCAGCCTGAGCAAGAGCAAGACCCCATCTCTACTATACATAGAAAGAAATGAATTGGCCAGCTAATATATATAGAAAAAATTAGCCGGGCATGGTGACACATGCCTGTAGTCCCAGCTACTGGGGAGGCTGAGGCAACAGGATTGCTTGAGCCCAGGAGTTTGAGGTTGCTGTGAGCTAGGCTGACGCCATGGCACTCACTCTAGCCTGGGCAACAAATCGAGACTCTGTCTCAAAAAACAAACAAACAAAAACAAAATAAAAATTCTGAACAAGTGAAAACATCTGACAGAAAAGAAAAAATAATACCTATATTCTCACATGGTTAATAAGTTGGTTCATTTTACCTTTTATTAATTTATTAATCAAATATTGATTGAACAAGAATACTATGTATGTCAGGAACCATTTTAGGTACTGTGGAGATAGAGCAACAAGTCAGGAAAAGTCATGCTCTTTATTGAGAGAAGGCAGACAGTACAACTCACAAATGCATGAATAAATAAGAAAAATATTAGCTAGGCATGGTGGCACATACCTGTAGTCCAAGCTACTCAGGAGGCTCAGGCAGGAGGATTGCTCAAGCCAGGGCTTGAAGGTTACAGTGAGCTATGATTGTGCCACTGTACTCCAGCCTGGGTCACAGCGAGACCTTGCCTATAATAAAGAAAAAAGAACAGAAAAATATCGAGGGGTTATACATGCTATACAAAGCCTTAAATGAAGTGTTATAATAGGGAAGACCTGGGCAGGCTCACCATATATGAGCTCCCTAAAGAGATGACTTTAAGTTGAGATCAAAATAACAATAAGGAACCAGTTTTATGAAAATCTAGGGGACCATAGACCCTAGAGCTTATCAGCACATGTGAGAATGGTCAGATAGGCAAGTAAGGGCCAGGGCAGAGGTTGTAGATAGGAAGTCGTGGAGGTTTGAAGTAAGGGAGTGACCAGCTTTATTTTAGCTCTGTTCCTGGACTTTCTGTCCACTCTCATTGATGACTGTTTACCTATTCCCAAGATAGGGCCACACTGTTCTAAAGATTGTAGCTTTTATAAAGCCATTTAAATATCTGATTTGGGCCGGGCGCGGTGGCTCACGCCTGTAATCCTAGCACTCTGGGAAGCCGAGGCGGGCAGATCGCTCGAGGTCAGGAGTTCGAAACCAGCCTGAGCAAGAGTGAGACCCCATCTCTACTATAAATAGAAAGAAATTAATTGGCCAACTAATATATATAGAAAAAATTAGCTGGGCGTGGTGACACATGCCTGTAGTCCCAGCTACTGGGGAGGCTGAGGCAGCAGGATTGCTTGAGCCCAGGAGTTTGAGGTTGCTGTGAGCTAGGCTGACGCCATGGCACTCACTGTAGCCTGGGCAACAAAGTGAGACTCTCTCTCAAAAAAAAAAATCCAGTGACATTTTCATTGGATTACATTAACTTAGTGCATTCATTTGGGAAGCTTTGACATCTTGACAGTTTTGTGTTTTATTTTCCTAAAACTTTGCGTGTTATTTTTAAGTCACTGACTTTTCAGGAAAATTTCACAATTTGGGCCCTATAAATTGCATGTTTTTTATTTTTTGGTGCTATAGTGAATGAGATCATTTAGTATTGTGTTTTCTGTTATAAATCTGTTTTTATCTCTGTCCGATAATTATCTACTTAATGATTTTTATGATTATAAAAATCATTCTGGTGATCTTGTTAGATTTGACAAAATAGTTATTCATCTTCAAATAATAAAAACAGCTATAATAAAATAACTAACATTTATTGAGTGCTTACTACATGTTGGGCACTGTTCTAAGTGCTTTACAAAACTTTTCTTCCTCAAACCAGTGCCCTGTGCCTGTTCTACATATTAAGAAACAGTCATAAGAGGGTATACACATCTGAGATTTCACAGCCAGTGTGATGCTGAGATTGAAACCCATATAGTCTTTATTAGAACACAGTCTATAAACCACTAAATAACATCTCCTCTAATAATGAGGATTTTTGTCTCCTTTCCATTATTTATGCCTTTAAGTTTTATTGTCTGGTTCAGTAATTTCATAGATATTTCTGAAGTATATTACAGTATGTGGGATTTTTTTTCATGTTCTTCCACAGGTTTTGGACTTGCCTTCAACTTGAACCCGGCTCTGACTATGATTGGCAAGTATTTCTACAAGAAGCGACCACTGGCAAATGGACTAGCTATGGCAGGAAGCCCTGTGTTCCTCTCTACCCTGGCCCCGCTCAATCAAGCTTTCTTCGGTATCTTTGGCTGGAGAGGAAGCTTCCTAATTCTTGGAGGCTTACTACTAAACTGCTGTGTAGCTGGATCCCTGATGCGACCAATAGGGCCGAAGCCAACTAAGGCAGGGAAAGATAAAAGTAAAGATTCTCTTGAGGAAGCTGGAAAATCTGATGCAAAAAAAAGTACAAGTGATGCAAATACAGATCTTATTGGAGGACACCCCAAAAAAGAGAAACAATCAGCCTTTCAAACAATTAATAAATTCCTGGACTTATCCCTGTTCAGTCACAGAGGCTTTTTGCTGTACCTGTCTGGAAATGTGGTTATGTTTTTTGGACTCTTTACACCTTTAGTCTTTCTTAGTAATTATGGTAAGAGTCAGCATTATTCTAGTGAGAAGTCTGCCTTCCTTCTTTCCATTTTGGCTTTTGTTGACATGGTTGCCAGACCTTCCATGGGACTTGTAGCCAACACAAAGTGGATAAGACCTCGAGTTCAGTATTTCTTTGCTGCTTCTGTTATCGCAAATGGAGTGTGTCATTTGCTAGCACCATTATCCACCAGCTACGTTGGGTTCTGTATCTATGCGGGATTCTTTGGATTTGCCTTTGGATGGCTCAGCTCCGTATTGTTTGAAACACTGATGGACCTCGTTGGACCCCAGAGGTTCTCCAGCGCTGTGGGATTGGTGACCATTGTGGAATGCTGTCCTGTCCTCCTGGGGCCACCACTTTTAGGTATAGTATGTCTCCCTACCTCTGTAGTTCTGTTATCATAAAACAGACATATAAGATTGGCAAGGTGATAGAAAGCAGAGATTGGTGAACTGTTTGACTAAGACCAGCTCTTTCTCATTTCTGTACCCTTAGTGTTGATACAATGCTTAACACACTATAATTGCTCAAATACTTACAGAATCAAATTAAATTGAACCATCAAGCCAAAAAGGGATCAAATATTGTTACAGATATCAATGGTTTTTAAAATTTGTTTATTCTTTTTTCCTTTTTTCTTTTTTTGGGTTTTTTTTTGGTTGTTTTTTTTTTTTTGAGGCAGAGTCTCACTCTGTTGCCCTGGCTAGAGTACAATGGCATCATCATAGCTCACTGCAACCTCAAACTCCTGGGCTCAAGTAAATCTCTTGCCTCAGGCTCCCAAGTAGTTGGGACTACAGGCACATGCCACCATGCCCAGCTAATTTTTTCTATTTTTTAGTAGAGAATGGGGTCTTGTTCTTGCTCAGGCTGGTCTCTAGCTCTTAACCTCAAGCAATCCTCACACCCACCCTCCCAAAGTGCTAGGATTATAGGCATGAGCCACCTAAAATTTGTTTTTCTTGATCATAAAACTAACAGGCTTACTATAGAAAAACAACTCTACCTTTAACATACTGGTAATGATTACATTTTAATAGTGGAGTTTATTTCAGTAGTAACAGTATAATAATAGCTACCACATAAGCTCACAGTGTACCAGAGACTGTCCTAACCATTTTCTATATCCTGTTGTATTTCATAAGGCTATCAGATAGGAGGACTGTTGTAGTCTGCATTTCATAAATGAAGAAATAGAAGCATCAAGAGGTGAAATAATTTGGCTAAGATTATGCAGCTAGTAAATCAATTATAATTTGGGAACTATTCCTTAACATTACTAAATACTCCATCTTTCAATTAATAGCCCAATAGATAACACACAATGAAAAAAATAATTTGACCCTCCTTATAGATGTGAATTATACTTTGGGAATTTTGATTTGGGGAGTAAGGTTACATAATAGAAGATCTGCAGCTATCTTTTGATATTGCTCTCTTCCTTCCACCTCATAACCCAATGAGTTGCCAAGTCCTGTCAGTTTTTATCTCCTATGTCTTTTTCTAATCTGTCCATTTGTCTCTATCACAACTACCACCTTTATCCAAAGCTCCTATCTCTTATTTGGGCTGCTCCTAACTTGTTTACCTATATCCACTTCAATCTCTTCAAAGTCTCCAGTTCAGAACTCTTAGAGATTTCTTAAAACTCTCCAGTTGCTTCCCATTGTTCTTAGGGTGAAGATCAAATTCCCTAATGTGGCTTGAAAGGCACTGCATGGCGTGGTCTCACCTGTCTCCCAGCCTCATTTCCTTCAACTGGCCATTTGCTCGCTCTGCTTCAGCAACCTGGCCCTTCTTCCTTCCCCTCTCACACTTTGCTTCCTCCTACCACTGTGCCTTTGCACTGCTGTTCTGCCTGGATCCTCTTCCCACCCCCCCTTTTCCTAAATAACTCCTATCTTCCTGCAAATCTCAAGGTAGTTGACACTTTAAGAGAAGCCTTCCTGATCCCACTTGCTGGTCCCAACTGCCTATTATTTGCTTTCAAAACCCTCCTTGTAACACTATCACAGTTTGTGTAGTTAAAATATTTGATTAATATCTCTCTTCTCCACTGACTGTAGATGTTATCACCTCTGCTCATCCTTGTCCTCCATGCTTAGCAGAGCCAGTGCCTGGTATATGCTGTTTAAGTGTAGAGTTTTCCAAAGTTTATTTCAGGTGATACTAGTTTGATGAGAGGCTAATAAATTTTACTCTAACAAGAGTTTCATGACTAAAAAAAAGTATGGAAACACCAAGTTTATTAAGTTTCTTTACTATAGGACCTCACAAAGCTTTTTATGGTAGTGTACATCGTGAATATTTAATAGAAAAGAATATGATACTACATTTCCCAAATTCATTTGACTTTTGAAACATTAGAGTAGAATCCTATAGCACAGTAGTTAAGGGTGCAGACTTCAGAGTCAGACTTCCTGGGTTTACAGACAAGCTATTTCACTTTATTAGCTTTAATGTCTCTGTGCTTCAATTCTTACATCTCTCCAATGGGGATGATAAAATCTGTTTAAGGATTAAACACTTAGAATGGTATTAAGGTATTGCTGATACATTTTTAGCATAGGACAAACGTTCACAGGAACACTCTTTGGAAATGCTGATAGGGAAACAGCATTTGCCTGGCTAATTGGAATAGGTCTATGGTCTTTTTTTTGTGTGTGGAGACAGAGTCTGCTTTTGTTGCCTAGGGTAGAGTGAGTGCCGTGGCGTCAGCCTAGCTCACAGCAACCTCAAACTCCTGGGCTTAAGCAATCCTGCTGCCTCAGCCTCCCAAGTAGCTGGGACTATAGGCATGCGCCACCATGCCTGGCTAAGTTTTTCTATATATTTTTAGTTGGCCAATTAATTTCTTTATATTTTTTTTTCAGTAGAGGTGGGGTCTCACTCTTGCTCAGGCTAATTTCAAACTCCTGACCAAGTGAGATATTATAAACAGAAGACCAGATAATTTTTAACAGTTCCTTTTGATACTAATTTGTCATTTGTGGGCTCTGTGATGATTGGATTGACATCTTTCTGAGTGGATCTTTCAGCTTTGTTTGGGAAAACAAACCTTGTTTACTCTTACCCACCTAACTATTTTTTTTTAACATGTTTAGGTTCTCTCAATGACAAATATGGAGACTACAAATACACATACTGGGCATGCGGTGCAATCCTAATTATTGCAGGTGTCTATCTCTTCATTGGCATGGGCATCAATTATCGACTTTTGGCAAAAGAACAGAAAGCAGAGGAGGAGAAAAAGGAAAGTAAGGAGGAGGAAACCAGTATAGATGGTGTTGAGAAGCCAAAAGAAGTTACTAAAGCCGCAGAATCTCCAGACCAGAAAGGCACAGAAGGAGGCCCCAAAGAGGAGGAGAGTCCAGTCTGAACCCATGGGGCTGAAGGGTAAATGGAGCAGTTCATGACTCAAGATATCTGAAAATATTCTACTGGCCTGTCATCTACCAGTGGTGCTTAATGCAGATAGTGGACATTTATGTGAAAATCATACCAGGTGTTCATTGATGAAATTTTTGTTTCACTCCTTACCAATAGCCTGAATTAAATATGCCATATTCTTTGGGGAGGGAGTGGTTGGTGGCAAAGGATGAGGGAAGGAAGTAGGTTTTGTTTTGTTTTGTTTTATTCTTAGTTTTCAACAGTGTCATGAAGATTATAATATGTGCCTTAAGTTTTAGTCTCTAGAACTCTTTAGAGGGCCTTAACTTTTAAAACCATTCTGTTGAATTCATCAATTTTGAGTATCATGTTAAAAGGAAAAATAACTAACTTGTTTGAGGCAAATCTAAAATTTAAAATTAATCTTGCTTCCTTGCTATTTGTAAATATATTCTCAGACATTTTCACTGGAAGATTTATGAATAGAAATATTGGTTGAAAGTTGGAGGTTTTACAAAATGCAGACTCATATCTTCTAGCAGCAGTAGTTGCCTGGCATATGTGCCTGCTAGCTATGTATTTGCAAAATTTAAAGCATAAAACTTGGGGAACATCTTGGCTGCTCTAGCCACATTGTGCTTGTTAACACCCCTCAGGTACCTTTTCTTGGGATGCTTATTAGAAGCCAAGTAAGTGCTTGAAGGTTGTTTTCATTAAATTACTACTTTTGCTCCCCTGTTCAAAGACACATTGAGTAGTTATAGATCATTGCCCTTTTTGAAATCATGTGGTATTATTTTTCAAACTGTAAAACTTAGTATTAAAATCCGTTAAGCTATATATCAAAACTATCTGTTTGTGCCTCCTCAGTAAATATAACACATATAATTAAATGTAGACAGATATTTCAAACATCAGCTAAATTCAGCCTAGGTTTTTCCAAAACCTCCGTTAATATGTGAGACTGTTGGAATTTTTTTTTTTTTCCTGGAATTTTTCCCCTTTGATTCACAGTGGTCCCATTTATATTTGCTTCTAGCTTAGAGCTATGTGTGAGATATTCAGTTTGTATGTGTTTGGTATTTTTTAAATTTTTTTCAATGTTTGCAAATTAAAGAGGGCCAGAAAAATTTGGCACCAGGCAAACCAATAAAGATAAGATTGGGAGGGAAGCTACTAAGTGTGCTTAGTTTGTTTTTTTTTTGAGACAGAGTCTCGCTTTGTTGCACAGGCTAGAGTGAGTGCCGTAGCATCAGCCTAGCTCACAGCAACCTCAAACTCCTGGGCTCAAGCGATCCTCCTGCCTCAGCCTCCTGAGTAGCTGGGACTACAGGCATGCACTGCCATGCCTGGCTAATTTTTTTCTATATATATTAGTTGGCCAATTCATTTCTTTCTATTTATAGTAGAGATGGGGTCTCACTCTTGCTCAGGGTGGTTTCAAACTCCTGACCTCGAGCAATCCGCCCACCTCGGCCTGGAGTGCTAGGATTACAGGCATAAGCCGCCACGCCCAGCCTGTGTGCTTAGTTTTGATAAGTAATTCCCTTTCTGTTTTCTGCGAAGGCCTTAAAAAAATTGTTATGCTTAGAATTACTGGATACATTCATACTCTCCACACAAACCTAAAAATTCTGTGACCCTTTTCACTTACCTGAAAAGTAGAGAAATGGGTTCACTATAAGTATAGGAGGGAGGGTGGACCAGAATGAAAACTGTAAATATTTTTTTAGTCTAATATCTTTTAAATTGAGGTAGAAAGATATAGTCATTCAATAAATTATATTCAATGCATTTAAAATACCACTGTAATTGACAGAGTGAAAGTATAGATACAATAACCTTGTATAAGGGGCTAAGTTTTCCAAATAAACTTTTTTTTTTTTTTTTTTAGAAAATGTTTCTCCCTCTAAATGTTTATTTTATTGAAGAAAATATTGCCATGTCTTCTTCATGTTCATTATCAGATTTCAGTTTGGCCCTTGCTTGTATTAAATCATCCAGTGTATATACCTTGAGATTTGTATATATGGTTTGTTTATTTTTTAATTTTCTCCCTTCCCCTCCTTTGCTTTAAGATAAGCATGGGGGAAATTTATCTACCATCTAATTGAAGTCCAGAGCAGTTAACTTTAAGGACATAATGAAAAACTCCCTTTGTATGCCTGAGTGTTATGAAAGGTGGAGGAGGAGTTTTAAGGGAGAAGCCTGCTGAGACTATTGGTAGGCTTGGCCCCATTTTGGACTCTGCCATTTTCCTTGGACCCAAATCTATACTCTTTGTACCTCTTTTCCCTTCTATAAAAATGAGAATTACTGTTGGTAAGGGAATGTAACTAAAGGAAGTGTAAAAAGAAAAAAAAGTAAAGCAAATAAGCAAGTGTAAAGAATTATTTTCCGCCATTGTGACTGTAGAAGCTACATCCACATAGTAGACCCTGCTAGTTCTGTGTTCACTAGTTGAATCTTAGTGGCATGAGGGTTTTGTGATGCAGATTAACCACCACTCATTAGAAGGAAGGGTTCTGAAGTTGCTGAATTCAGAAGCAAAAGATAGTACCAGGCATTCCCCCTTCTATTGTACTTAGCAGATATTGCTTTTTTTTTTTTTACAAATTTGATTTTGGTGCCATTTTTTCTGACAGACTGTGCTCACTTCATTAGCATTTTTTAGCAATATAGTATTTTTAAGTTAAGGTATGTACTTTTTTCAGACATAATGCTATTGCACACTTAGTAGATTACAATATAGTGTAAACATAACTTTCACATGCACTGAGAAACCAAAAAGTTTGTATGACTTGCTTTATTGTGATACTCACTTAATTGCGGTGGTCTTGAACTGAACCTGCAATATCTCCAAGCTTATATAACTGGCTCAAAGTTCAAACTATACTTCTTATCACCCTTCGATCCTGACTTTTCCTTCCTGAATATACAGGCTTAAGAGATTTATTCAAGATCAGTATTGGCAACAGAGCAAACACTAAAACTCAACACAGGCCTACTCTGTGCCATCTCTTCCTTATTAACAATCAGCTTATCATCTCTGTGTTTCAAGTCAACACTGGGAGCAACTGGGCTTTCTGATCCTGTCTGTTGTCCCTTACTGCATCTTAAGACTGACTCCATTTGAAGTTTTCAGTTCACATGGTTTCAGTGTCTGCTTTGGGAAAATAGATGTATGCATAGAACACCTGCCTATCTCCTCCTTTTCTCTGCCCCACACCCTCTGTAAGTCACAGAGAGAAGTTATTCAACTCTTAGGTAGTTACAGTGCCCAAAAAGGCGTGAGACTGTTCAAGAGTACACACTCTGAAACGGCTCCCAAGTCAAAGCAGGGGAATTATTTGAGAAACTGATAAGTTGGATAATTGCAGATCATGGTAACATAAACTGGACCACATTATCATGTTATACTCAAATCTATTGATAATTAAACTATCTTAACTAGCCAAGATAAATGAATAGTTTGTATAAAAAGTACTAATGAAAGGATGATGGTAAAACAAATTATGGGAAATTCAGAGGTATTTTATCCCTGATTTAGTCACATCAATGAAGGATTCTCTGTTTGGATTCTTAGGTTGTCTGAATTTAGTAGTCTATGTCTATATCAAGATATATATGTCAATATTAAAATGTTACCCTGTATTTTGAAAAGGAAGAAAGTTGTTAAAAGACATTTAATATTTTTGTATGAAGTAATGTTTTATTGTGTTGGATTTCTGATTGATAAATTGGGTATTGGTTGCATGTCTGTATGAAAAACGTAAATGTCTGGGTTTTACCTTCCTTAGGAAATGGTTCCCAGTATAATAAATTTAATCATCAGTGCTGGTATTCCCCTCCCCTCCCCCCACACACATACACTTTTGCTTAGAAAGATGAGGAAATTATCAGTAAATTCTCACCTTTGCAACATGGTTTGTTTTAATAATCAAGGCAGGCACTTACCTAGAAGGAATGAAGAAAGAGGTTAATGATAGACTTGTATAACTACGATCACTATTTCAGTGCTTGACAGGAAGTAACAACCCAAGCTTGCCTGGCTTGCCCAGATATGAGCAACTGGGCCAAGCTACTTCAGAGTTTAGAACCATCTGGATGGGGAGCAGTGGCAGTTCAAGTGCATCACTCCATGAAATGTGTTCCATCTTTAGAGTTTCAGATTCAGTCACCCTTTTCCTCCATTCAGTCTAGACCATAGAGGCAATATCATTAAAATGTGAGCAGTTGGAAACAGTAGCATGTGTGAGTGTAGAGTATCTTTCCCAGCTCAAGAGCATGAGTTTATTTACTTTTTTCTCACTTGCCTAGAGGAGATAGCAATAGCTAGCAAAAGAAATTATAGCCTACTGGTTGATTAACAAGGTAGGCTGTCTGGGTTCAAATTGAGGCTGTGTGACCTCAAACAGGTTACTTAGACTCCCTAAACATTAGGGGTTTTTTCTCCTATAAGATGTTAATAATTAGTATCCACCCCTAGGGTTGTGATGAAAGTTAATTGATAGGCCAGATGAGGTGGCTCATGCCTGCAATCCTGGCACTCTGGGAGGCTGAAGTGGGAGGAATGCTTGAGCTTAGGATTTCTAAACCAACCTGAGCAACTCTCTACTAAAAATAGAGAAATTAGCTAGGTGTGGTGGTACACGCCTGTAGTCCCAGCTATTCAGGAGGCTGAGGCAGAAGGATTGCTTGAGCCCAGGAGTTTGAGGTTGCTGTGAGCTAGGCTAATGCCATGGCACTCTATCCTGGGCAATAGAGTAAGACTCTGTCTCAAAAAAAGGTAATTGATATGTGACAGCGCTTAATTAAGGATAAGCACCTGACTAGAAAAAAGTTAATGTTTATGGAAAAAAATGGGCCTTTGTAGTTCCTAAAGTGGATCCTTACTTGTAGAGGATGGTTTCAGAGTGACTCTAAAGAATATTAGCCAATACACTTTTCAAGTTTGATAGAAAATAATGCTATGTGTTGTAGGATACAGATGTTCTTGCTTACAAGCATCATACCAGCCTTTAAAGTGAATTTATACAAGCATGGACATTAGTTTCAATAAACTTTTGTTTTGATACTCCTAAAAAAAAAGAATATTAGCCAAATGATCAAATTCTCCTTTTAGATCAGATTTTCCTTTTGGACTTACAAATATATTGGTCTTTTGTAAATGAATGGAGCTAACACTTCACCACATGGTTGGTGCGTGTATGTCCAGCTCTTTGTGTTAGATGTATTTGAATCCCAAAGCCCTTGGTCTTTCTACTCTTAACAATTTGCTCCCTCCATAGGAAAGAGATGCCCTATTAGTAGCAGATAAACTTTTCTCCCCAATAATTGTGATGATTCTATAAGAGAAGAAATATAAATAGTAACTAATCATGGTTAAAGTTCTTTATCCCTAGCAATGTCTTTAAATGCAAATTGAAAGGTTGATGAGATTTCATTTTTCCTACTATGTCAATGACGTAGTTTAAATTATCAGTTGGTGGCTGAGTAAATTGGTACTTTTTTTTTTTTTTTTTTTGAGACAGACTCTCACTCTGTTGCCCAGGCTAGAGTGCCGTAGCGTTAGCCTAGCTCACAGCAACCTCAAACTCCTGGGCTCAAGCAATCCTGCCTCAGCCTCCTGAGTAGCTGGGACTACAGGCATGCGCCACCATGCCCAGCTAATTTTTTCTATATGTTTTTAGTTGTCCAGCTAATTTCTATTTTTTGTAGAGATGGGGTCTCACTCTTGCTCAGCCTGGTGATCTCGAACTCCTGACTTCAAGCAGTTCTCCCTCCTCGGCCTCTCAGAGTGCTAGGATTACAGGCATGAGCCACTGCTCCTGGCCTGATACAACATTTTGGGAAAGCAATTTTGTAATATGTACCCAAGCACCATGAGCTCACATGTTATCCTTTTCCCTAAAAATTCCAGGTTTGGGTATTTAAGAAAGTTTGTCTTTGTAATTATCAATTTCTTTGAAAAATCCTTACTTGGGAGCATTTAGATGGATAATTATGAAGTCCTTATGATATAAACATGGCATAATGCCATGTGAAAAAACACGAACTAGCATATGTGTACATATATGCATAATGCATATATACATGCACAGGAAAAGAAAACACACTAATTGTAATTTTGTGAGTGTGGTAAATTTAATTTTGTCTTAATGTGATGGTTACTG